GAATTTGAAATTTGCATCCGTTTGGTTAGATTGGTGGATGATCATCAACTTTGAGTTCTTTGTTCGGCTTGGTTGACATACAAGCAGTTTTGAAGATTTGATTTCTGCAGACCGGCACTACTTCCCTACCTTTTGTCTCTTCATCGTTGCAGCTTGCTAACTTCTTCACGAAGTCACATCCGTTTCATCGTTTTTGTTTCTTGCTTGGCAAACTCTCGATGCTTCTTGCAGCAACATCATGAGTTTGAGGGGAGATGTTAAGAATATAGGGTTATTATATATTATTGTTTATTAAGGGTAGAATAGTCTTTTCAATTTCCTTTATTTAGCCTATATATAGTCTCTTTGTTTCTAGGTTAAATAATTCCTTTTAGTATTCAATTACATTATGTAGAATTAATAAAACCCTAGCCTCCTTTTTCCTTTTCTTTATTTCTTTGAATTGTTTAACATGATGCAATAGAAATTCAAAATTTATGGGTTTTTTCTCTTATTCTGGTGTCATATTTTCCTTGTCAGGTCATCATAAATTATTTAGGTTTCACTTATTCTTGATACCCCTCATACTACAAATAGCTTATTAAGAGTTCTCTTGAATGTGTATCAGAAATCAACTGCAGAGGAGCTTCTAAATGTAGCGCTGCCCCTTAAATTTGTCGAGGTTGACGAAGAACAATCTAGGCTTGTCCTCAGTAACCGCAAGGCCATGGCTGATAGTCAGGCACAGCTAGGAATTGGGTCAGTTGTAGTTGGTACTGTTCAGAGCTTGAAACCTTATGGCGCCTTCATCGACATTGGTGGAATCAATGGACTTTTGCATGTGAGCCAGATCAGCCACGATCGTGTCTCAGATATTGCTACTGTTCTTCAGCCTGGTGACACTTTGAAGGTGACTCTTTACTGGCTAAACATTTTAACACACCAAAAAAATTTAATCTTTATATACTAAATCTTTCTGTAGGTCATGATACTAAGCCATGATCGTGAAAGGGGCCGAGTGAGCCTTTCTACTAAAAAGTTAGAGCCCACTCCTGGTGACATGATTCGTAATCCCAAGCTTGTCTTTGAGAAGGTAAAAATGCATATTCTTATGAATTATCATTTTATTGTTGTTATACTTTCTGCTCAGATTAATTGAGCTTTGGTTCTAGTTCTATCTAGAGAAATTTAAGTTTAAATTAAACAGGGATCTTAATGTGGCCATCATCTTGTAATTGAATAAGCTTGATGATGTGACAAATTATTACTTTCTTGCAGTCGTAATAGATTTGTAGCTTTCTGCATATTACTGTAAATTTATGAAATTTGCTGAATGTGTCCTGATAGGCGGAAGAGATGGCTCAGACATTCAGGCAAAGAATTGCTCAAGCAGAAGCCATGGCTCGTGCTGACATGCTCAGATTCCAACCTGAGGTAAATTCAGTTTTTTCCTTTTTCTTTTTGTTGTGTGTGTGTTTCAAGATTTCCTTGGTCCAGTAGTCTTCAGAATGGAGGAAAGTACGAAAGTCAAAACAGAAAAGTGGTTGCGAGATAGTACATGGAGTTTTACGTTTGCTGCTAGAAATTCTTTTCTCTAGGCTTAAAAACACTGCATTTTTACCGAAAAGGTAAGAAATACCACCTAAGTGGTAGGGATTTTCATTTTTCCTATTTCAGTGGGTATTTTCATTTGATGAACTTTCCAGCTGATGTCCACACATGAGTTGCTAAAAAAGCAAATGGTCATGCATTATGACTCGTGAGATGTTGATGTTGTTAAAGGAATAAAGAGATAAAACAAATAACAGATTTGGACTAGTTCTCCTTAAGGAAGCCAAGACTATAGAAGTACCACAGCATCACTATGTTGGAACGCTATTTCTGTTCAGATCACAAAAGACACTATAAGGATTTGTCTATTGCTATTAGAATGAATTCAAATTAAACCTATCTAATTCGAATAGCATACAAGAGTTTGTTGTTTAGTTAATCCATCTTTATGAAACCGATCTATTTTTCCCTCCTTTTGCAGAGTGGATTGACCCTCAACTCTGATGGGATCTTGGGACCTCTGACTTCAGACTTGCCTGCAGAAGGTTTAGATTTAAGTGATATACCCCCAGCTGAAGAATGATTCAAGAAGTTGCACCTGCTTTCATTGTTTATCTTACTATGATTGTAATCAAATGCCTTCGAGCTGTCTGTAGGTTATAGCCTCAGTCGTCATAAACATCTTGATCTCACATTATTCATTTTCCTTCATGTCTGCATTTCACGTTCATCTTCTGTCAAAATTTGTACCACTTGAATGCTTAATACAATCGAGTGCTTCTGGTAATGAGATTAGAGAAACAATCATGCTACACTAATTGACTCAACGACTAGATTACAAAACAGGAGGACATATGGTGCAGCATCGTTAAACAGTTTGGAAAAAAAATTACCCACATGACACGGGTGCGACAACTCAGCACCTGACAAAGCACCTGTTTGCAATCCTTGTTTGAGTAGCATTATTCGTAGAGAAACAATCATGATACACAAACTGACTCAATGACAGGCTCAAAAGATAGGAGGACATGTGGTGCAACATTATTGGACAGTTTGAAAAAAAAAATAATAATAATCCACATAGGTGCTGATAACTCAGCACCTGTCCAAGCAAGTGTTTGCAATCCCTATTTGAGCAGCATTATTCTTAGAGAAACAATTATGCTACAGAAATAGACTCAATGACAAAATTAAAAAACAAGGGGATAGTGCAGTATTGTTGGATAGAGTAGCATTATTCTTAGAGAAACAATCATGCTATACAAACAGAATCAATGACAGAATTCAAAAACAGGGGGACGCGAGGTAAAACATCAATGGACATTTTGAAAAAAATAAAAATACCCACACAAATGCTAAAAAGTCGACACTTGTCAAAGCACATGTTTGCAATCCCTGTTTGAGTAGCATTATTCTTAGAGAAACAATCATGCTACACAAACAGACTCAATAACATGATTAAAAAATAGGGGAACGCATGATGAAGCATCATTTGACAGTTTGAATAAAAAAAAAAAAATTAGTACCCCAAGAATGGTTAATCAACGAGAGCTTCTGACAAGTGAGATTACGAAAATTACTACAATTTCTGGTTAGATTTAGCTGCCTCAATACAATATATGTAGTCGTGTTTTTGAGATAGTGATCCATACTGTTAGGGGGCTTTGGCTTGGCAATGTAGGCTGTCTACAAAACCAATATCAAATCTCTCTGTTGAGGACATGGGCTTGTGGCACCCCTATCTCTTAAAGGCTGTTGTAGTCAAATTCTCATTATAACTTTTTCGAGTTCCATGAACAATCCTTCGTAAGATTGGAATTTTTCTAAGCCACGAGACTAAACATCTTATCGTAGTCAATCCCGTATTGCCGTTAGAAAGCACAAGCAACCACACTAATTTCCACTTTCGAAGGACCAATAACTAAGAAGCATGACAAACAAAAAGTATTCTAAATTATAATGGCAAATTTATCTTTTAGGGGTGGGCAAAAAACCGACCGACCCGACGAAACCGACCGAACCGACCCAAACCGACCGGTTTAGGTCGGTTTTTTGTATTATTTGGGCGGTTTTCGAGTTTCGGGGTGGGTGGTCGGGTCGGGTTGGGTCGGGTCGCGGGTTGGCACCCCCAACCCGACCCGAAAAAAAAAAGGGTTAAATTGAAAAAACGACTAATAGTTTTCTCAATTATTTTCAGATTGTATTAAGAATTAGTTTTTGTTAGCAATTCTTTATTATTAAAACTGGAGCTTTCGAAATTGATCGAGGATTTCAATTAAAAATTTCTTGAAGATAAGGAATACC